TATTAAAAAAACTATATCTTTATGTTGATCATATATATATGTCTTGTAAACAACATCTAGCTGAACAATTTTTGTAAACCTAACATGACAATCTTTGTTGGTAAACTTAAATATTTATATATGAATTTTATACTTAATGTAATTTATGACATATTTGGATTTAATTCTTCCATGTTATTTTATAGTTGTTTTTTTTTTGCGGTATGCGGGCCTCTCACTGTTGTGGCCTCTCCCGTCACGGAGCACAGGCTCCGGACGTGCAGGCCCAGCGGCCACGGCTCATGGGCCCAGCCGCTCCGCGGCATGTGGGATCTTCCCGGACCGGGGCATGAACCTGCGTCCCCTGCATCGGCAGGCGGACTCTCAACCACTGCACCACCCGGGAAGCCCTATTTTATAGTTTTTATTTGTCCCTTTTATATGATTCTTTTCTCTTTTCCTACCTTCTTTTGAATAGATCAAGATTTAAAAAATTCCACTTTCCTTTCAACCAGAGTATGTGCATCATTACTTTCCTAGCTGATGCCAAACTGTTTTCCAAAATGACTTTACCAATTATATTCCCACCAGCAGCACATGAGAATTTTCTTTGCTTCCATTCTCACCAGCACTTGATATTGTTCGGCTTCCTTTATTTTTGGTAATCTGGGAGGTATGCAATGGTATTTCAAGGTGCTTTAATTTGCATTTATCTGATGCTAGTGAGGCAGATTATCTTTTCATATATTTAGTGACCATTAAGATCCTTCTTTTCTAAAGTGCTTAATCTTTAGCCCATTTTTTCTATTAGGTAGTTTGTTTCTTTCACATAGATTAGTAGCAGTTCTTTATGTCTTCTTTATACTAGTCCTTTGTCAATTATATGTGTTGCAAATGTCGTTTTCCACTTTTTTGCTCATCTCCTCTTTCTGTGGTGTCTTTTAATGAAGAGTTTTTAGTGTTAATGTCATTAAATATATCATTCTTTTTTTTATAGTTAGTAATTTTTGTATCTTTAGATGTCTTTCCGTCTCCTGAAGTCTTGAGGATATTTTCCTATATTATCTTCTGAAAGCTTTCTAGTTTGTTTTCCTCATAGGTCTCTAACTTACTGTGAGGTGACATTAGTCTGTGGCAGGAGGCAGAGCTTTTTTAAATGAAGGTACCCAGTTACCAGTACCCAGACCCTTTATTTATAATTTGTAAAACACCTCTGTCATATGACCCATTTCCCTCAATTGGTAATAACCTCTCCCTCAATTTGTAATAATGCCTCTGTCATTTATATATGTGTGTAATTTTTGGATACTCTTTTCTGTTCTATTGATAATCTATTTATCTATACCTGCAGCATTACTAAACAGTCATATTTATCTAGCTATATAATAAAAGTTGTTGTCTTGTGGCAAATTTCTTTCTAATCCATCCAATGTAGCCTTAACATGTAAGGCTCTAGGTTCCAGGGGTCAGCACGTATCCTCAGGACCGAAATCATTTGAGTACTAGTTTATCACACTGTATTTCTGCTTACTTTTTGGATTTTTAGCTATGTATTTAAAAGAATCTTTAGTGCAAGTCATCTCGCATTGATGTTTCGTCTGGAAGGATTTCTCAGGATATCTTGTTCTCCATATTGCCAGAGGCCAAAGCCTCCTTCATTTGGCAAGGAGAAACAAAACCTGCTTTAAAGAGCATTTCCAGATTTTAAGAGGAAATATTGCTCAAAAATTTTTGTGTGAATATGAACAGGGAGAGGAGGATGGAAAAGAGAAGTTTAATTTTATGACTTATCCCCATCATCATGCAATCAGTTATTTTTAGGTCTCTATAGGCTCTATAAATTAAAATATTACATCTAGCATTAAATATTTTCATAGAAATATTTAGTAGCCTTAGTAGCCTACCGTGACTTTTTTTTTCTATAACAAATACTTAGTAAATTCTTCTTGGTTGACTGATGGTAGTATCTCAGAAAACAACTTAAAAAAAACATTTATATAATCCTTAGCATGTGCCAGACACTATTTTAAATGGTTTATAAATATTAGCTCATTTAATACTCATACAACTTGGTGAAGTAGGTAGTGTTATAACAAACGAATTAACTAAGATATGGAGTAATTAGTTAGGTTGCCTCACATCAACAGCTGGCAAGTGGTGGAGCAGGGATTTGAATCCAGACAGTCTGGCTCCAGAGTCAGCACTTTTAACCACAATACTATGCAAAATTCAGCTCATGTTTCTATGGAGTTTGTTGTCTCTCACAGGTGATAGAAGTTTTAATGATAAAACATGATAGTAAACTCTGAAGAGAGAAATAAAAAATCATCTAAAGTTATTTCACTACCTATATTTGACATGATTTACAATAATTTGGCAGTGAGATGTCAAATGCAAGCATGATTTGGAAGTGGACCATAGCATATTTTATTTTTTAAATAAATGTGTTTATTTATTTATTTATTTATTGGCTGCGTTGGGTCTTTGTTGCTGTGCGTGGGCTTTCTCTAGTTGCGGCGAGTGGGGGCTACTCTTCGTTGTGATGAGCGGGCTTCTCATTCCCGTGGCTTCTCTTGTTGCAGAGCATGGACTCTAGGTGTGTGGGCTTCAGTAGTTGTGGCACATGGGCTCAGTAGTTATGGCTCACGGGCTCTAGAGCACAGGCTCAGTAGTTGTGGCACGGGCTTAGTTGCTCCGTGGCATGTGGGATCTTCCCGGACCAGGGCTTGAACCCGTGTCCCCTGCATTGGTAGGTGGATTCTTAACCACTGGCATCAGGGAAGCCCCACATTATATTTTACTCATCAACATTTTTGAGTACCAATTATGTGGCAAGCATTTTGCTACATCCTGGGGTTAAAAATATGAATAAGATATGCCCTACCTCTTTCAATTCTCACTTCTAGAATCTAGCAGCAATTTCTCCAGAATGGCAGAAATGGGTTTCAGTGAACAGAAGTACATCTCTGTAGGAACTTTCTTAGATAAGTACAGTTTGGGGTGGGAAGTGTAAGAGAAAAAGGTAAATATATATAAAAGAAACAAATAAATAAAAAGAAGCAAGCAAGAAGATGGATTGATGACCACTGACGGACTTGTTCCTATTTTACCTATACTAGTGGCCTATTTCTAGGTTTCTGAGACAGTACCCAAGGATTTTTTTCCTCTGCTTTGAACATTACAGATAAGATATGGATGTGCTAGGTAATTTTGAGCATGTTAGTTTCCTTCCATCTTAGTGAGGAAGGAAAAAGATGACACATCTCAGAGTTCACTAATTGTCATTTTTCCTGGAATGTGAAACAGGGAAAGCAAAATTGCAAAGTGTTATAAGGTACTAAGGCAAAAGATTATCTGCAATGTGATTGTGGCTGCTAAGACTTCTCATTCCAGTTGAGTAATCAACTTGTATGTGACCTTGAACAATTTGTGCTTGGGGATTTTCACTACCTAATTCTCAGAACTGTAAAATAAAAGCAACACCAAAATGGAATTCAATCAAAGTATCAAAACCCAAAGTTGATAATTAAGTACAGTTTCTCTGAGTTTTTAAGTTATTGTTTAGTTGCAAATTTTGTATTTTTATACTGCTTTGTGAACACTTTCAAGTCATGTAAATACTTGCAGAAAAATCCACACAATATATTCTTTATATAGAGCTAGCTCTACTAGTCCATGATTGGTAATATAGTTTCTTGGGTTCCTCTTCAAGCAGGGCATAGTTCTATATTACTCTTTCCATTGTTTCCTTTCTCCTGGCTCCCTTCCCCTTTGTGACAAATACCATGTAGAAGACCATTTACGTGGTATTCTGGTGAGATAAAGCATTTATGTAAATTGATTTAATTAGAACATAATTACTTTATTGATTTTTGTACTAAAGAAAATGTTTTTATCATTGCGTTTGTTACATGTCATATTAGAAACCATGTAGAAAACTAGAAAAATGAAGAATTAGGCCAAGGCTTTCAAAGAAATATATATTAAAATAGCAATTCTTTAGGGGATATTAGTAAGAAGATTTATAGGTGAGATGAAACAAAAAGAGATCAGTAGCATCTTAATAATCAGGACAGTGAATGGAACTCAGGTACACATCATTATAAAAGCCTTTTAAAGGGCTGGGAAGCTATCCCACTTGGAGCTTTGTGCTTGATTCCGAACCTTATATGATAGGTATAGTAACGAAACATCAATAAAGACCGCCATGATGATAAAGGATCTTTAGGTCATATGTCCTTGTGGAGACCAAAAAAATGAGATGAGTGTTCATTTTTGAGAAGGAAATGAAAGGTGAACATGACTAATGCAGATAAAGTTTCATGTGTAGGGCTTCCCTGGTGGCGCAGTGGTTGAGAGTCCACCTGCCGATGCAGGGGATACGGGTTCGTGCCCCGGTCTGGGAAGATCCCACATGCCGCGGAGTGGCTAGGCCTGTGAGCCATGGCCACTGAGCCTGCGCATCCGGAGCCTGTGCTCCGCAACTGGAGAGGCCACAACAGTGAGAGGCCCGTGTACCGCAAAAAAAAAAGTTTCGTGTATAAAAAAGGTATATAAAAGGAAACTCTTCAAGGATATAATAGTTCAAAAGCAAAAGGGCATGAAATAGAGTACAAGGGACTGATGTTTGAAGAATGTTATTAAGACAGTGCAGTTCATATGTGGAAATAATGGCCAAAAGACCATGGAGTTTACCATTTAGGGAGAAGGAACTTATTAGATAGGTAATATCATGAAACAAATTGGAGGGTGTTGCAAGTATGACCTGGATGTTCTTTCATGAAGAATTTTTATTTTTTTAACCTCTTTACTGGAGTATAATTGTTTTACAATGGTGTATTGGTTTCTGCTTTATAACAAAGGGAATCAGCTATACATATACATATATCCCCATATCTCCTCCCTCTTGTGTCTCCCTCCCACACTCCCTATCCCACCCCTCTAAGTGGTACAAAGCACCGAGCTGATCTCCCTGTACTATGCAGCTGTTTCCCACTAGCTATCTATTTTATATTTGTTAGTATATTTAAGTCCATGCCACTCTCTCACTTCGTCCCAGCTTACCCTTTCTTCTCCCCGTGTCTTCAAGTCCATTCTCTATGTCTGCATCTTTATTCCTGTTCTGCCCCTAGGTTCTTCAGAACCATTTTTTTTTTTAGATTCCATATATATGTGTTACCATATGGTATTTGTTTTTCTCTTTCTGACTTACTTCACTCCATATGACAGACTCTAGGTCCATCCACCTCACTACAAATAACTCAATTTCATTTCCTTTTATGGCTGAGTAATATTCCATTGTATACATGTGCCACATCTTCTTTATCCATTCACCTGTTGATGGACACTTAGGTTGCTTCCATGTCCTGGGTATTGTAAATAGAGCTTCAGTGAACATTGTGGTACATGACTCTTTTTGAATTATGGTTTTCTCAGGGTGTATGCCCAGTAGTGGGATTGTTGGGTCATATGGTAGTTCTATTTGTAGTTTTTTAAGGAACCTCCATACTGTTCTCCATAGTGGCTGTATCAATTTACATTCCCACCAACAGTGCAAGAGGGTACCCTTTTCTCCACACCCTCTCCAGCATTTATTGTTTGTAGATGTTTTGATGATGGCCATTCTGACTGGTGTGAGGTGATACCTCGTAGTTTTGATTTGCATTTCTCTAATGATTAGTGATGTTGAGCATCCTTTCATGTGTTTGTTGGCAATCTGTATTTCTTCTTTGGAGCAATGTCTATTTAGGTCTTCTGCCCATTTTTGGATTGGGTTGTTTGATTTTTTGATATTGAGCTGCATGTAAATTTTGGAGATTAATCCTTTGTCGGTTGCTTCATTTGCAACTATTTTCTCCCATTCTGAGGCTTGTCTTTTCATTTTGCTTATGGCTTCCTTTGCTGTGCAAAAGCTTTTAAGTTTCATTAGGTCCCATTTGTTTATTTTTGTTTTTATTTCCATTTCTCTAGGAGGTGGGTCAAAAAGGATCTTGCTGTGATTTATGTCATAGAGTGTTCTGCCTATATTTTCCTCTAAGAGCTTGATAGTGTCTGGCCTTCCATTTAGGTCTTTAATCCATTTTGAGTTTATTTTTGTGTATGGTGTTAGGGAGTGTTCTAATTTCATTCTTTTCCATGTAGCTGTCCAGTTTTCCCAGCACCACTTATTGAAGAGGCTGTCTTTTGTCCATTGTATATTCTTGCCTCCTTTATCAAAACTAAGGTGACCATATGTGCGTGGGTTTAACTCTGGGCTTTCTATCCTGTTCCATTGATCTATATTTCTCTTTATGTGACAGTGTCAGACTGTCTTGATTACTGTAGCTTTGTAGTATAGTCTGAAGTCTGGGAGCCTGATCTCTGTTTTTCTTTCTCAAGATTGCATTGGCTACTCGGGGTCTTTTGTGTTTCCATACAAATTGTGAAATTTTTTGTTCTAGTTCTGTGAAAAATGCCATTGGTAGTATGATAGGGATTGCATTGAATCTGTATATTGCTTTCAGTAGTGTAGTCATTTTCACAGTGTTGATTCTGCCAATCCAAGAACATGGTATATCTCTCCATCTGTTTGTATCATCTTTAATTTCTTTCATCAATGTCATAGTTTTCTGCATACAGGTCTTTTGTCTCCTTAGGTAGGTTTATTCCTAGGTATTTTATTCTTTTTGTTGCAATGGTAAATGCGAGTGTTTCCTTAATTTCACTTTCAGATTTTTCATCATTAGTGTATAGGAATGTAAGAGATTTCTGTGCGTTCATTTTGTATCCTGCAACTTTACCAAATTCATTGATTAGCTCTAGTAGTTTTCTGGTGGCATCTTTAGGATTCTCTAAGTAGAGTATCATGTCATCTGCAAACAGTGACAGCTTTACTTCTTCTTTTCCGATTTGGATTCCTTTTATTTCTTTCTCTTCTATGATTGCTGTGGCTAAGACTTCCAAACTATGTTGAATAATAATGGTGAGAGTGGGCAATCTTGTCTTGTTCCTCATCTTAGTGGAAATGCTTTCAGTTTTTCACCCTTGAGAACGATGTTGGCTGTGTGTTTGTCATATATGGACTTTATTATGTTGAGGTAAGTTCCCTCTATGCCTACTTTCTGGAGGGTTTTTATCATTAATGGGTGTTGAATTTTGTCGAAAGCTTTTTCTGCATCTATTGAGATGATCATATGGTTTTTATCCTTCAATTTTTTAATATGGTGTATCACATTGATTGATTTACATATATTGAAGAATCCTTGCATTCCTGGGATAAACCCCACTTGATCATGTGTATGATCCTTATTTTTGGTTTTTTTTTTGCGGTACGCGGGCCTTTGACTGTTGTGGCCTCTCCTGTTGCGGAGCACAGGCTCTGGACGCGCAGGCTCAGCGGCCATGGCTCACGGGTCCAGCCGCTCCGCGGCATGTGGGATCTTCCCGGACCGGGGCACGAACCTGCGCCCCCCCTGCATCGGCAGGCGGACTCTCAACCACTGCGCCACCAGGGAAGCCGTATGATCCTTTTAATGTGCTGTTGGATTCTGTTTGCTAGTATCTTGTTGAGGATTTTTGCATCTATGTTCATCAGTGATATTGCCCTGTAGTTTTCTTTCTTTGTGACATCTTTGTCTGGTTTTGATATCAGGGTGATGGTGGCCTTGTAGAATGAGTTTGGGAGTGTTCCTCCCTCTGATGTATTTTGGAAGAGTTTGAGAAGGATAGGTGGTAGCTCTTCTCTAAATGTTTGGTAGAATTCACCTGTGAAGCCAACTGGTCCTGGGGTTTTGTTTGTTGGAAGATTTTTAATCACAGTCTCAATTTCAGTGCTTGTGATTGGTCTGTTTATATTTTCTATTTCTTCCTGCTTCAGTCTCGGAAGGTTGTGCTTGTCTAAGAATTTGTCCATTTCTTCCAGGTTGTCCATTTTATTGGCATATAGTTGTTTGTAGTAATCTGTCTTGATACTTTGTATTTCTGCAGTGTCAGTTGTTACTCCTCCCTTTTCATTACTAATTATATTGATTTGAGTCTTCTCCCTTTTTTTCGTGATGAGTCTGGCTAATGGTTTATCAATTTTGTTTATCTTCTCAAAGAACCAGCTTTTAGTTTTATTGATCTTTGCTATTGTTTCCTTCATTTCTTTTTCATTTATTTCTGAACTGATTTTTACGGTTTCTTTCCTTCTGGCTAACTTTAGGGGTTTTTTTGTTCTTCTTTCTCTAATTGCTTTAGGTGTAAGGTTAGGTTGTTTATTTGAGATATTTCTTGTTTCTTGAGGTAGGATTGTATTGCTATAAACTTCCCTCTTAGACTGCTTTTGCTGAATCCCATAGGTTTTGGGTCGTCATGTTTTCATTGTCATTTCTTTGTAGGTATTTTTTGATTTTCTCTTTGATTTCTTCAGTGATCTTTTGGTTATTAAGTAGTTTATTGTTTACCCTCCATGTGTTTGTATCTTTTACAGATTTTTTCCTGTAGTTGATATCCAGTCTCATAGCATTGTGGTCGGAAAAGATACATGATACGATTTCAGTTTTCTTAAATTTACCAAGACTTGATTTGTGACCCAAGATATGATCTGTCCTGGAGAATGTTCCATGAGCACTTGAGAAGAAAGTGTATTCTGTTGTTTTCACGTAGAATGTCCTATAAATATCAATTAAGTACATCTTGTTTAATGTATCTTTTAAAGGTTGTGTTTCCTTATTTACTTTCATTTTGGATGATATGTTCATTGATGAAAGTGGGGTGTTAACGTCCCCTACTGTGATTGTGTTACTGTTGATTTCCCCTTTTATGGCTGTTAGCATTTGCCTTATGTTTTGAGGTGCTCCTATGTTGGTTGCATAAATATTTACAATTGTTATATCTTCTTCTGGATTGATCCTTTGATCATTATATAGTGTCCTCCTTTGTCTCTTGTAGTAGTCTTTATTTTAAAGTCTATTTTGTCTGATATGAGAATTGCTACTCCAGCTTTCTTTTGATTTCCATTTGCATGGAATATCTTTTTCCATCCCCTCACTTTCAGTCTGTATGTGTTCCTAGGTCTGAAGCTCGTCTCTTGTAGATAGCATATACAGGTCTTGTTTTTATATCCATTCAGCCAGTCTATGTCTTTTGGTGGGAGCATTAAATCCATTTACACTTAAGGTAATTATCAATATGTATGTTCCTATTACCATTTTCTTAATTGTTTTGGGTTTGTTATTGTAGGTCTTTTCCTCCTCTTGTGTTTCCTGCATAGAGAAGTTCCTTTAGCATTTGTTGTAAAGCTGGTGTGGTGGTGCTGAATTCTCTTAGCTTTTGCTTGTCTGTAAAGATTTTAATTTCTCCATCGAATCTGAATGAGATCCTTGCGAGGTAGAGTAATCTTCATTGTAGGTTTTTCCCTTTCATCACTTTAAATATGTCCTGCTACTCCCTTCTGGCTCTCAGAGTTTCTCCTGAAAGATCAGCTGTTAACCTTATGGAAATTCCCTTGTATGTTATTTGTTGTTTTTCCCTTGCTGCTTTTAATATTTTTTCTTTGAATTTAATTTTTGCTAGTTTGATTAATATGTGTCTTGATGTGTTTCTCCTTGGATTTATCCTGTATGGAATCTCTGTGCTTCCTGGACTTGATTGACTATTTCCTTTCCCATATTAGGGAAGTTTTCAACTATAATCTCTTCAAATATTTTTTCAGTCCCTTTCTTTTTCTCTTCTTCTTCTGGGACCCCTATAATTTGAATGTTGGTGCCTTTAATGTTGTCCCAGAGATTTCTAAGACAGTACTCAATTCTTTTCATTCTTTTTTCTTTATTCTGCTCTGCAGTAGTTATTTCCACTATTTTATCTTCCAGGTCACTTATCTGTTCTTCTGCCTTAGTTATTCTGCTATTGATTCTTTCTAGAGAATTTTTAATTTCATTTATTGTGTTTTTCATCATTGTTTGTTTGCTCTTTAGTTCTTCTAGGTCCTTGTTAAATGTTTCTTATAGTTTCTCCATTCTATTTCCATGATTTTGGATCATCTTTACTATCATTACTCTGAATTCTTTTTCAGGTAGATTGCCTATTTCCTCTTCATTTGTTTGGTCTGGTGGGTTTTTACCTTGCTCCTTCATCTTCTGTGTGTTTCTCTGTCTTCTCATTTTGCTTAACTTACTGTGCTTGAGGTCTCCTTTTCGTAGGATGCCGGTTCGTAGCTCCCGTTGGTTTTGGTGTTTGCCCCCAGTGGCTAAGGTTGATTCAGTGTGTTGTGTAGGCTTCCTGGTGGAGGGGACTAGTGCCTTTGTTCTGGTGGATGAGGCTGGATCTTGCCTTTGTGGTGGGCTGGACCATGTCCAGTGGTGTGTTTTGTGGTGTCTGTGACCTTATTATGATTTTAGGCAGCCTCTCTGCTAATGGGTGGGGTTGTGTTCCAGTGTTGCTAGTTGTTTGGCATAGGGTGTCCAGCACTGTAGCTTCCTGGTTGTTGAGTAGAGCTGGGTCTTAGTGTTGAGATGGAGATCTCTGGGAGAGCTTTCGCCATTTGATATTACTTGGTGCCGCGAGGTCTCTGGTGGACCAATGTCCTGAACTTGACTCTCTCACCTCAGAGGCACAGGCCTGACACCCCACTGGAGCACCAAGACCCTGTCCAGGTACTGGGGAGTTTCTTGCCTTTTGGGAAATCTGAGGTCTTTGGCCAGCATTCAGTAGGTGTTTTGTAGGAGTTGTTCCACATGTAGATGTATTTCTGATGTATTTGTGGGGAGGAAGGTGATCTCCACGTCTTACTCCTCCGCCATCTTGAAGGTCTCTCAGAATTTTTATTTTGTATTTTGGAGTATAGCTTATAGTTTGCTCAGAGGTAAAAGATCATGTCTATTGGGCAGCAGGTAGTATGTTACGTGCTGCATTTAATTCAATGCAATCAATTATTGTAATGTGAAATTACATTTTAAAGTTTTTATTTACAAGCACATTTATATGCTGGTATAAAAAGAAACCTGTCAGTGGAGAAAGCTTTAGCTTACTAACAATATAATTATAGGAAGACATACATAAGGGCTACTCAGGTAGATATGGGAGGAGACCGAGGTCAGTTTTTCCAATTCAGTAATACT